TCCATTTATTTGGAATTCTGGTAAAAGCAACAGGAACAGCCGACAGAGCAGGTAGGGGTTATATAGACAAGACCATTAAGTTGGTGCCTGGGGAGGATTTTATGGGATGGTGTAATTGCTCCCCATCTTGACTGTGGTGGGGAGACAATGCTGTGGCTTTGTCAGATGTTCAGGTTTATCCATTGTTTACACACACACACACACACACACACACACACACACACACACACACACACACACCAACGAGACAGTATCCTGTACGACACTAGGCTCTTGGATCCCCACAAAGGTGACCCCAGAATCAGTCGACAGGCCTCAACATTGCAGATTGCTGGAAAAGCAGCATCCTGCGGTGCGCAGAGGGACCGGTAGGTGGCGCTGTGCCGGAAGTCCCGCCCAGCCTGGGAAAGGCGCATGAGGGCGTCTGGAGTTGCAGAGCTCTGTTTGTACGTCTGTGCAGAGCCTTCGCGTGGGGCCTCATACCCTGGTTTTCTCCAGTGGAGCTACTCTCCTGTGTCAGTCCCATCCCCTGGGCGCAGGCCAGAGACACCTTGTTATTCTGGGTGTCTCTGGGCGAACCCCGTGCACGGCACCTCTTCCCATTTGTAGCGTTTGCAGCCGGAGCTGGCGAATTCCGAAGGGGGCGGGGCCTGGGACTGTGTGCCTGAGATCCCAGCAGTTGGCTACAGGGGCAGGAGGATTGTACCGTGGAGGTCAGCTGGTGCTACGAAAACGTAAACAAGAGAGCAGGCCTGCGGGGTTTGCAAGCTCACCACCTGGATAGGAACCGCCAGGCAGTTCCTAGTTTTAATGCCTTCTGTTTCCTTTGTAGACGCGTCAGTGGCACGCGGTGGAGCACTGAGCCTGGGGGCCCCCTTCGCGTGGCCACTCACCTCCGCGGCTGCGCAGGGGCGGCGGGATGGACAGGTTCCTAGTGAGGCCCGACCCGGGCGACCTCCGAGGGGGAGGGGAGGAGCCAGTCCCGTCGGGAGGAGCCTCGGGCGGCCAGTCGAGCCCCAGCTGGCGGCACCTTCGCGCGCAAGGTCTGAATTGTGATTACACCATCCTGTTTGGCAAAGCCGAGGCAGACGAGATCTTCCGAGAGTTGGAGCAAGAAGTGGAGTATTTTACTGGTAAGCGGAGGGTTTTAGGTGTTAGGCTTAGGTGATGAAAGAATGTGCCTCTGTTAGGAGAAGCGTGAACTCAGGCAGTGACAGGGTCTAGAGCGAAATTACCTGGGAAGTTAAAAAAATAAACTCCCAAACTTTCGAGGTTCTTTGTGATACTGAATCAGAATAGCGGGAGGTGCAGCCTAGGCATCAGCGTTTTTACCAGTCTTCCAGGCCAGTGGTAGAGCGCTTCTCTATTCACAAAACCCCAGGTTAGACCTCAGCATGGTCAAACGAACAGACACTCATATGCAGCCAAGTTGTGCTTGTCTAGTAGGCGATACCGCAGATAGCCAGGTAGTTTCTCACGGAAGGCTGTGTGGTTTAGCCGGACGCCTGCTGCCCTCAGAACTCTGCTGCTTCCTGACCCTTCCAGTTCAGTCTCTGAAGAGTCTGAAGGTGGTGTTGATGCTGTTGCCTGGAGACTACATATTGAGAAGCTGTAATGAACACACAGCTGACAAAACCTTCCATTCATGTTCCATTATGTTCAGAGCTGTCTCTTTATGTTCTGACTTTAGTTAAAGCAATGAATGACAGTTTTAAAACCTGAAGCCGTGCTGTGCTGGTGCAGACCTGTAACTTCAGAACTTGGGAGGTGGAGGTAGGAGGATCCGGAGTTCAAGGTCATCCTCAGCTAAAGAGTTCAAAGCTAGCCTGGGTTGCACGAGACCCTCCCTGTCTTTAAAGGCCATAAATAAATATATGAGGAGTTGAAAGAGGACTCAGAAGTTATGATCAGCTGTTCTCCCAGAGGACCCAGGTTTGATTCCCATCAACCACATGGCAGCTCACAGCCCTCTGTAACTCCAGTCCTAGGCACTCTGATACCCTCTTCCAACCTTCGAGGGACCAGACACATACAAGTTGTACAGATATGCGGGCAAACATAAAAGTGTTGTGTTTTTTTTTTTTTTTTTTTTTTTGAGACAGGATCTCACTGTGTAGCCCTGGCTGTCCAGAAACTCACTCTGTAGACCGGGATGGCCTTGAACTCAGAGATCCACCTGCCTCTGCTGGGATTAAAGGTGTGCACCACAGTTTATTAAAAAAGAAAAAAACAGTTTATTAAAAAAGAAAAAAAAAGAGGAGAAAGATGGCCTCAGCTGCTTATAGACCAAGTCATCTGTGATTTGTTTTTATTTTTTAGTTCTTCAACAATTTCATGTATGTGTATGATGCATTTTGGTTATTTTCACACACTACTCAGTCTCTGACTCCTACTCCTGCAGAGCCGTCCATCCTAAGCCTCTGTTGTGCTTTTATGTCTTTGGTTTTGCGGCCCACTGGTTTTAATGCTAGTGTGTACGCATGTTTTGTATGTGCACACAACAAAGCCAGAGCCCTGCATTCCTTTTGCCCCTCATGTTGTACAATGACCAGCTAGGTACCCCCCCTCCCATTTTTCTTGCAGTTCCAGCTAGACCAGCTGGCCGGTGAGCCCCCAGCAGTGGGATTTGAGGCACATGCAGCCACACCTTGTGACAGGCACTTTACCAGCTGAGCCACCTCTCCAACTCTTTGGGTTTTTTTGAGGCACACTTGCCTGGAACTTGTGCTCTGCCTACATCAGCACCAGAGTGATGAGATTATAGGGGTATGCCACCATACCCCTTCATGAGAATGAGAGTAAGCCACAGTGCCTTCGGGGAAGAGATCCCCAAAAAGGGCATTCTATAACACGACGAGCAGAGGAAATGCCGTTTCTAGTTCCCTGCCTTGTGAGTACCCAGAAGACGCACAGGACTCATCTGTCTATATCCCTTGAGGTCAGAGCTGCCATTTCATCTGCCCAGGTGCACTGGCCAAGGTCCAAGTATTTGGAAAGTGGCACAGCGTTCCCAGGAAGCAGGCAACCTACGGAGACGCTGGACTGACATACACCTTCTCTGGTCTTACACTGACACCAAAGCCCTGGATTCCAGTTCTAGATCGTGTTCGAGATCGGATCTTCGGGGTGACAGGGCAGACCTTCAACTTTGTGCTCATTAACAGGTAACGTCTGCTCCCCGGGGAAGGGCTAAGGACTTTTGGGACTGGAGAGATGGAGCTCACATTAGAGGGACAGGGAACTAGCTAGAGAGCTGGGGATACTAACATCTTGAGTAGAACAGAGGAATGCATGGTGTCCACAGAGTGGAAATCAGGAACCAGGGAGAAAAGAGTATGAAGGGCAGGGCCAGGCTGCACAGGGTGTGGTTGGTGTGTCTGCAGGCGGAGTAGGGCAGGTTTTCCCTACAAGAACCTGGTGACTGAAGGCGTGGCTATTTGATCTGATGTGTGAGGTCTGCAAGCATGACAAGATGTAGCTAAGTGTCCTAGTCAGTGTTCTTTTGCTGTGAGGAGACACCATAAGCAAAGCAACTCTTAGAAAAGAAAACATTTACCGAGGCTTGCTTTCTGTTTTAGAGAGTTAGTCCATGGTCATTATGGTGGGAAGCAGATGCATAGCCCTGGAGCAGGGGCCGAGAGCTTCACCTTCTCATCTGCAAGCAGTGGGCAGAGACAGACACTGGGCTTGGAGTGAGCTTTTGAAACTTCAAAGCCCAACCACAATGACACACCTACTCCTGATTGGCTCTAAAGTTCCACCAACTGGGGGCCTTTCTCATTCAAACACCTTGCTTGGCAAAGACATTCAGATTGGGCTCTCTGGTCTCGCAGGCTAGGGATGTACAGAAACAGCACGCTGCTGCTTCGGGCTAGGATGAGGCACCGGCAGTATCGGCAGGTGATGGAGAGGGTTTCTTCGGCACTGTGGTTGTTTTCCCACTACAGGTACAAAGATGGTTGCGACCACATCGGGGAACACAGAGATGATGAAAGAGAACTGGCTCCTGGGAGTCCCATCGCATCTGTCTCCTTTGGGGCCTGCAGAGACTTCCTCTTCCGGCACAAAGACTCTCGAGGGAAGAGACCCCGGCAGACAGTGGAGGTAGTCAAGCTGCAGCTGGCCCATGGAAGCCTACTGATGATGAACCACCCCACCAATACCCACTGGTACCACAGTCTCCCCATCCGCAAGAAGGTCCTGGCTCCTCGGGTCAACTTGACTTTTCGGAAAATTTTACCTACTAAGAAGTAAAACATTTTCTATTTATTATTTTTATTTGTACGTGTGCGTGCCGCATGTGTGCAGGTGCCAGGGATGCCAGTGCCAGGAGGTGTGCGATCACCTGGTGCTGGAGTTACCGGGTGGTTGTGAGCTGCTTGACACAGGTGCTGGGACCCAAACTCAGGTCTTTTTTTTTTTTTTGATTTTTTTAAAATATAAAGCCTTTATTTATTTTTAATATTTATTCATTTATTTATTATGTATACAATATTCTGTCTGTGTGTATGCCTGCAGGCCAGAAGAGGGCACCAGACCCCATTACAGATGGTTGTGAGCCACCATGTGGTTGCTGGGAATTGAACTCAGGACCTTTGGAAGAACAGGCAATGCTCTTAACCTCTGAGCCACCTCTCCAGCCCCCAAACTGAGGTCTTGCAAGAGCCTCGGTACCTGAGCTTAAGTCTGGAATGGCAGCAAATGCTCCTACCTGCTGAGATATCTGTCCAGCCCCTAAAATCTATTTCTAATAATCAGTACCTTGTATTTTCTCTTTTTGCTTGAAGAGAGGATTTATTCTCATTACACAGTACACAGCACCCAGTGCAGGAGGAGGACGCCATGTCACATCCGCAATAAAATACCACACAGGTCTGGCGTGGCGCCGCATATTTAATGCCGGCACTCAGAAGGCCGGGGCCTAGGTAGGTCTTTGAAAGTTCACAGGCAGCCTGTTGTACACAACCCGTTTAAAAAGACTAAAGCCCACCACTCAAGTGTTTCCTAATAAACCATCTTTATTGCTTAGTACACAGCAGATACAAAAGTGCCTTTAGCAGATCCACACTCAGCAGCCTATAGCCTAAGTACTAGCTTAACTTAGGTTTTTCCAGGAAGAAGCTACCTACTGTGAATAACTTAAAACTAGAAATCATCCTTGGTTGCTACCTAATGTCTAATAATTTACAAAATGAGGAAGTACATTAGCACTTGGCCAGGGTCACACATTTACAGCCTTGGCCCAAACCCTGGGCTGGGACCAGCGTTCCACAGTTGTCCTTTTGGTGGTCTTTCTTCCCTAGCTGACCTCTAAGATCACAAGTGACCGAGGGACTGAGCACTTGTCCACAGGGCCACCTGGGCCAGAACAAATGGTTCAGCCGCCCCTGTGGGAACTGTGGCTGGAGGCCAGCACAGCAGTCTCGGAGTCTGCACAGTGAGATCTGATCTCAAAGCCGATGCTTAGGCACATCTGGAACGTCTGCAGCTTACCCCTGCAGAGAAAACATCCTAGGCCTTACCTCAGTTACCTTTGGATAGGTCTGGTTCCAAATCTTACATCGGAAGAGTCAGTCTGAATTTGGTTTGGTATCTTTTTTTTTTTTTTAAATTACTAACTTGTACTATTGTGCCATCAACATTCCTCCATCCCTGGGCTATTCATGAAACTTATCTGAAAACGGAAGAAAATGCCCAGAGTACCCTTTGCTTAACAAGGTCACTGAAGACACACACACTTAGAATACGCTCCTAGAAAGTAACGGCAGGATGTGTTGGCTGCAGTTCTGTTCAAACACCACACCGCTTTCCTCCTCACTGTGGGCCCTTACTGAAAAGGCAAGGTTCAGAGAGACTGTGGCCCTGGGCCAGGGCACTCTCCCAGCTCAGCTCTCAGGTCACCCCGCCCAGACTCTTGCCTGTAAACCCTACTATAGGCAACTGATAACAGGAAGCTAGCCATCTTCCAGAGGTGACGAGCAGCGGTGCAGACACCACAGCTGTGGACAGGCTTAGAACCACCTCTCCCCAGGGCGGACTGGCAAGTGGCGTGATCACATATAAAGAACTGAAGATTACAAAAGACAGACCCAAAGGTGGGGACGTGGTCTTGAGGCTTTTGGGAGGAGACAAGGTTTTATATGTAGCTCAGGCTGGCCAGGAACTTGTAATGATCCTCCTGCCTCAGCATCTGAGTGCTGGGACTCCAGGCCTGAGCCACCATGCTGTTCTTTTGACCTCCAAGGAACTTGGAAGGACGAGGGCTTTCCCAACATTGTGCCTGTGAATCTTAGGTCATGCCTGTTCTCAGAACAACCAGAAGGGAAAGGCACTTGTTCTTCTGAATTGTTGCCTTTAATAATGTCACTAAGTCTTGCCAATGATATTTACGGGCCTCCTTATTAAAAATAAAGATCTATGCTGAAATGTCAGGGGATCAAACAAAGGCAAATTACAGTATAGGAAGGGTGGCTCCTGGAGTCGGTTTCTTTAATGACCTGTGTCAGATGAGTAAGATGCTCTAGACACAATGGATGCTGTCCTCACGAGGACACCTTCTGGTACACCCTGGCAGCACTGCGAAGACTGGTTCCTGTGTGGAGCCTGCTCTCAGAATACACAGAAGGCTGAGGGGCTCTGCAGGGGCTGGCTCGCACGTGGACACGTGGCATGCCTTCTTTTAACACGGATGTGGCCTCACCATGGGCCTGGCTCTGGGCTGGCCTGTCACTCCTCAGCCCTGTACTCCCGCCCCTGCTGCTGCGCCCTGGACAGAACTCGCTCATAGAACAGCAGGTAGGCGCTGGAAGACAGGACCTCCTGCAGGCTGGCCTTGCGGACAGTGTCATCAGAAATCCACAGCCACTGGTTGCTGGTTGAGAGAGGGTTCTTGGCTGAAGGTGGTGACCGTCTGTAAGTGACAAAGTGTCCAGAGTGCATGTCTCCATGGTGGACGACAACTGCCATCAAGCGGAACAGGTATGTGGAGGAGCTGAAGGGTGGAAAAATGCCAGTTGTTGGTGAGAGAACCAGGCCTTGCGTGTGTCACACTATAGGAGGTGAGTGCAATGGTCCACACGCACACTGCTAAACACAGCTCTACGCCTGAACACTGAGTGTGTTACAGTGAACACTGAAGTCTGCACTGGCCACCTAGCGAGAATCCCAGGAAACAGTTCTCTTTACATTACTCACGTGTGCACACACGTGCAGATTTCATACACTTCCATAATTTCCTTTAAATGGAGTAACAATGTGAGTGCACCTAAATGCACACGTCCACTTGTTTCTACACTGAGAACAGTAGAGCACAGTGAGCGGACAGTGGGTGCCTCAGTCGTCCTCACCTGTAGTCAGGAACCACCGGCAGAGAGAAGGCCATCGGGGAAGGCAGGGCTGGCAACAAGGATGGCGAGCAGGCACCATTCATAAAAATCTGTGTCTTGGCTCCTGGCTGACTCAGACCTGTAACAGAAAAGCCTGAGTCACAGACATGGGCAGCTGATCTGTGCAAACAATTGGCTGTGGTTTCTGTTTGACTGCAGACAGGGTCATGCAGTGCCCCAAGCTGGCTCTGAAATGCCACCTTGGCCTATGGGTGCCAGGCATGGGCAAGCAGCACAATGGCCGGTCCCCACCTGCATCCCATCACCCCGAAGGTGCATCCCACTGCACTACCCACACTGGACTGATGTGAATTCTCCCACCTTTGTTCAAGTCTACGTAGCAGCAGCTGCCCTAGCTTCTGAAGCAAACCAAGACTCTCATTGTGCACTATCAATAGTGAGGTGAAGGTGGGCATGCTGGCGCACACCTTTAATAGCAACACTTGAGAGGCAGAGGCAGGCAGATCTCTGAAGCTAGCCTGGTCTACAGAGCAAGTTCTAGAGAAACCCTGTCATGAAAAACCCAACCAAAGAATAAAAACAAAACCCAGTGCCTTTAATCCCAGCACTTGGGAGGCAGAGGCAGGTGGATCTCTGTGAGTTCGAGACCAGCCTGGTCTACAGAGCTAGTTCCAGGACAGGCTCTAAAGCCACAGAGAAACCCTGTCTCGAAAAACAAAAAAAAAAAACAAACAAACAAACAAACAAACAAAAAAAAAACCAGTGAGGTGGGCAGCACTGTGCTGGGAGGGAACTCAGATCCTGAGGCCAGGAGCATCCCTTCCTGAGCAGCAACCACCAGAAACGTCCCACACAGCTTCAGAAGACGACAAGCGCTCCAGACGTCACACACGTCCTTCCCTTAAGGAGAGCATGTGGGGCTCACACACTAAGGAGCTCATTGTCACCTTCTGTGCTCACATCCACCACACTCTGAACATCAGGGACTGCCCTGCAGCCTGGGAGAGCAAGCAGGAGAGGCTCTCAGACTGAAACAAGAGCCAGGGGCTGAGGCTCTCCCTGTCTAAGCTGTTCCCCCGTTCACCCAGTATCTAGTTATGGTTTTTATTGCTGTGAAGGCAACACTATGACCACAGCAACTCTTACAAAGAAAACATTTAGTTGAGGTGGAGGCTTACAGTTCAGAGGTTCAGTCCATTATCATCGTGACAGGGAGCATTGTAGCATCATGCAGGCAGACATGATGCTGGCTACATCTTGACCAGAAGGCAGCAGGAAGTTGACTGACTGTCACACTGATGAAGTTTGAGAAATGAGACCTTTTGAGGAAGTCTTTGGGCTTCCCCCCAACACCTTCATCCAACAAAGCCACAACTACTCCAACAAGGCCACTCTCTTTGAAGGCCATTTCCTTCCAAACCACCAATCCAGAGAGATAGTCCCACTGAAGTGACATCTTGCCAACCAATGCAGTGGTAGCAAGAAGAGGTGAAATGAGGGAAGGGAGGTGAGGGGAGAGGATGGGGAGGATGGAGAGGAGAGAGAGGAGTATGGTATTCATCTTATTCATCTTCAAACACATGTACCCGAGTTTGAGTCTCAGAACCTATAGTTTTTAAAAAGGTGCCAGAAGCTGGGTGTAGTGTCACATTTTTAAAAAATTTTTACGTTTATTTCATGTGTTCATGTTTTGCCTGCATGTGTGTATGAGTATCATCTGAGTGCCTGGTATCCATGGAGGTCAGAGAACAATACTGGATCCCTGGCACTGGAATTACAGCCAGTTGTGAGCTGCCAAGTGGGTGCTGGAAATCAAACCCAGGTCCTCTGGAAGAACAGACAGTGAGTGTTCTTAACCACTGAGCCATCTCTCCAGACCAAGGGTTCTCAACACAGGGGTCGCATATCAGACATATCCTGCCTATCAGATATTTACATTAGGATTCAGAACAGTAGCAAAATATGTACAATTGTGTTGTACTATTATAAAGAAAGTAATTTTATGGTTGGGGTCACTACAACATGAGGAACTGTATTAAAGGGTTATGGCATTAGGAAGGTTGAGAACCACTGTTATAGCCCCTGGCACATGACTTTAATCCCACCATTTGAGAGGCAGAGGCAAGCAGATCTTTGTAAGCATGAGACCAGCCTGGTCTATATTATGACCTGTATTTTTTTTTTTTAAGCCATTCATGGAGGCACATGCCCTTGCAATCTTAAGAGCTGCGGAGGCAGAGACCTAGAAACTTGGCTCACTGGCTAGCCTTCTTGACAAGTTCCAGGGCATTGAGAGATGGGTCCTGAAGAATGACATTTGAAGATGGACAGACAGACAGACAGACACACACACACACACACACAGTCTCTAAACCAGTAAAGTATGGGAATGTACAAAGCCAGCCTGACTCCTGCAAGCCAGGGGTCTTTCCTACCTACAACTCTACAGAACCTGCAGGTCACAAAAGATGTTCTCAGAACCCACGCCCAACATCACATTCTCAGCCATTTTCCCCACTTACTGCTCTTCCTCAGACCAACCACTTCACTGTGGAACCTGAACTTCTTCCCAGCAGAGGTATTAGAGTCGCCTTCCCTCACAGTAAGAAGAACCTCAGAGGAGGAAGAGAGGCAGAGGTAGCTGGGTTTTCTAAAGTACAGCAGGGCTGTTGACCCAGTGAGATGCTCACAGACTGTCAGCCGCAAGTTCATCAAAAGGTCAAAAGCAAGATGGCAGCCCCACACTGTCAACCTTTCCATCTGTGATAACTTCTCTCTCTCTCTCTCTCTCTCTCTCTCTCTCTCTCTCTCTCTCTCTCTCTCTCTTTCCTGGAACTCACTCTGTAGACCAGGCTGGCCTCGAAGTCACAGAGATCCACCTGCCTCTGCTCTCAAGCGCTGGGATTAACAGCGTGTGTCAATGGTGCCCGTTGTTTATATTTGCACATTTTGAACTGTACTGTGACTGATGCATATGCACACACTACAGCATGTGGAGGAGAGAACAAGGCTGTGAAACCTGCCCCTGCCTTGGTGTGGGTTCCACAGAGGAGAGAACAAGGCTGTGGAACCTGCCCCTGCCTTGGTGTGGGTTCCACAGAGGAGAGAACAAGGCTGTAGGACCTGCCCACTGCCTTGGTGTGGGTTCCACAGAGGAGAGAACAAGGCTGTGGAACCTGCTCCCTGCCTTGGTGTGGGTTCTACAGAGGAGAGAACAAGGCTGTAGGACCTGCCCACTGCCTTGGTGTGGGTTCCACGGAGGAGAGAACAAGGCTGTGGAACCTGCCCCTGCCTTGGTGTGGGTTCCACGGAGTCAACTGAGACTGCTTCACTACAAGCCAGCTCACTGGCCCAGTGACAGTTTAAACCGTGTCTCATGACTGTGTAATTTCAGCTCTTTAGGTAATTCTGACGGTCGTAGCTCAGGGAGAGTGCTAGCCTAGTAGAACTGAGGTGCTGGGTTCCGTCCCTAGTGCTTCGAAGAAACACCAAGCCATTTCCCTTCAACCTCCAAACCTGTTATTATGAAGTTAGCCAACCACTGCATAGCTAGTGTGCATGTCATAAGAGCCAAAAGTGGGGCCACCAAAGCCCTCTCTGTGCAGAGCGTCCCACAGTACACACCTGGCTTTGGGGCCGCTTGTGTGTCCTGTAGCTCCAGGGCAGACCCTAGGTTCTCACTGGCTTTGGGGCCATGCTGACTTGGTTTGTGTCCCAGGAGGCGGTACTTGTAGAAGTCCATCATTAGGAACTCGTTAAACTGCACGTGCTCGTGCCGCTTCAAGGGCGTGCCATGGCTGGACCAGCTGAGCCGCTGGAGATGGATACAGAGGCACTGGGGCAGCTGTGGGCAGAGAGGAAAGTGCAGTGCTAAGGTGCTTCCGCAGCTGACAGAGTCGCCCCCCACCCCCAAGCATGGCCAACCACATGCACAGGTAGGCTCACCTTGCCTAGCTTCAACTGTTTAACAAAAGTGGTCCTCTGGTGTTCCACCTTTTCCCCATTCAGCGTTCCTTTTGCTTCAATCTGCAAGAAAGTAACAGCATATGTCTGCAGGGTCAGACATATAACAGGTCATATAACAGCATATTGACTGCAGACACCCGCGGAGCTGCAGGTCAACCTCAAAGATTCCTCTTGGCCATTAAACAGGAGCCGTGGAGGGAAGAGAAAGGGAAAAACAAAAGTGTGAATTTCTTAAATCTTGTCTTCAGAAACTCTATGGAGAGAGGGCTACAGAGATCTGTCTCGGCAGTTCAAAGGACCCAGGTTTGGTTCCTAGACCCACATGGTGGCTCACAACCATTTGTAACTCTAGTTCCAGATCCTGTGCCCTCTTCTGACTTGTGTGGACACCTGGCACTCATATGGTGTACACACATACATGCAGGCTAAAACACTCATATACACAAAATTAATAACTCTAGAAAACCAGTCCTGTGTGGGTTCCCCAGACCGCCTCCTCCCTCACCCTCTCTGCCCCAGTCACAGTAGGAGGATTAGGAGACCTGGGTGATGCCCAGCCCTGAACACTTTGCTCAGGAGTTCACTTGAGTGGCTTCTGGGGACAATCATAGACGCCTTGGACATCCCTGCCTTAGAGAGCCTCAGAATCACAGGCAGTTTCTGCTGATAGTGGGACTGGGGTGTGAACTGGATTTCAGCACCTGTGGTCCTGCCTAAAGCAAAGCCCTGAAGACCCTGGAGATGGAGCAGCAGCAGATCTCTCAATGGACACCTGAGGGCACCTGTGAGCACCATCTTTCCTGCCTGGTTGCTGCCTAACACCACCCAAGGTTCCACTAAATCTTCTTTTTCTGGAGTGTGCAGGGAAGCTCAGGTGGCCCTGGAAATTCACAAGGACATGCAAAACTTGGGAAGGTCACTGCAACTTCCAAGATTCAGAAGCCCCTACACCCACCCCAGGAGATTTCATAAATAGAGCAATTGCGAGGAAAGAAGAGACTTCACTGAAGCTGCCTGCAGGTTGAGCAGGAAGCTCCAGGAATGCAGCTTTCAAGAGTCATTATCCATACTGGAGTGGGCTGTGTGTGTGTGTGTGTGTGTGTGTGTGTGTGTGTGTGTGAGAGAGAGAGAGAGAGAGAGAGAGAGAGAGAGAGAGAGAGAGAGAGAGGCAGGCAGCTGCTGTGTGGAATCACCCACTCAGCCCCCAAAGTCTGAAGTCTGTATTTCCTCTGCGTTCAGAAGTCTGGCACATCTGAAAAGGTGGACACAAGACAGGGGAATGGAAGAGCTACAGACTGGAGTGGGTGTGTTTCAGCTCTATGCACAAAGCTTAACATTTTCCCCTGTAAACACCATGGAAGAAACAAAACTCACCTGGGAAACAAATTCATAGGTAGCCACTCTGCAAACCAAGGCAGGGGAAATGGCAGAGGCTGAAAGATGCCCAGGCATATCTAGCTGGAAGCTCATGGGGTGGCATGAGAGGTACCACAAAAGCACATGGTGTAAGCTGGGAGGGGACACTGCAAAGCATACCTTTGTGCAGTTGTCACACACAACATCCCGCACTGACTCAGAGGAGATGAAATGATGAAGGCAGTGGTCCAGGGTCAGTGGGTGTCCCTAGAGCAGAAGCAGGCAGTCAGAACAGCTCACAGGAGTCATGCTGAAACCATTAGCAGGTGGCGGGTAGCCTCCCAGGGCTGTGTTTTGGAGTACCCAGGCATAAAGCTTCACAACACACCTCAGTGTCATTTAACCCCTATGCTGCTACTGCTGATAGACTCAGGAGGGGCAGAGCTGTGGGAATCATGCACCTAAACGGGCCTGGGGTGGGGGTAGGGCTTTTAGGGACTGTGCACCTACATAGGCCTGGGGGGTAGGGCTTTAGGGACCATGCACCTGCACAGGTCTGGGGTGGAGCTTTAGGGACTGTGCACCTGCACACAGACCTACAACCTTAGAGTTTGGGATGTGCGCATAAACACAAGTATGGAAATGCCAATGTCTTCAGTGAGATGAAGAGTCACCTTCCCTCTCCCACAATCAGACCCTCCCATCAGAGCTGAAATGGCTCAGCCAGCCATACCTGAATGACACTTAGTACCTGGGCCACATAAGATGCCTCAAAGCCCTTGTGGGACTGAATGGTGTCCAGAACAGATCGAAATAAGCCGTAGATCAATACGTACCCAAGTGGCAGCTGGAATACTGAGGGAAAGACTGTCAAAGGTATCAAATCGAACAGGACTCTGAAACAAATATTGCAGAAAATCCAAAGAGCTTAGCATCGACAGATGAAACGCTTAGTATTCAGATATTAAACTGTCACAGTGCCGTCCAGTGCACAACAGCATTAGCCTGCAGCGTGAAGACGGCTCTGGGGTGCGCACCCGACCCAGCAGCTTGGGATATACATACACGTTTTCACACAACTCCTACGGAATTGGCACTAACTGCCAGGACTTCTATCAGTGCCACTGACGGCACCATAAACAGGAGTAGCTGAAGCCTAAGACATCAGAGAACTGCAGATGTCCACAGAGCGAGACTCTGCTAACAGTACTGCAGTGGAAGACATGAGTTTCTACACAGACGGCCACACTGTGCTATGAAGCGTCCCTGTGTGAGGCGACGGGATGGCTTAGACCTGCAATCCCTGGAAAGACTTTAAAAGCAGGACCCTTTGGACAGTGATTGATGGAGAGAAATGGGTTCCTAGGTGAGGTCTGCCTGCCTACTTTACACAGTGCTAGAGAAAAGTAGCCTTGCTCAGGACTGAGACGTCCGAAGACAGAATCCAGGCTGGCAGGCAGACAGGGCTGTCCCGGAGGGGGAGCCCTGAATTCTGTGTATGCCTGCCTGCCTGTTCCACGACTGCCCACAGAGCATATAAGTGCAGGGGGACCTTGAGGGTCTTGGTAGACATAACATCCAGAAGTAAATACAGAACAGAGCATTTGCTGTCTAAGGAAGGAGACAGAGTTTGAGATCTGAACCAAGTTAACTACCTGTCAGAACAAAATCCATTTCCTTTTCTTCCTTTTTCTCTTTCTTTCTTTCTTTCTTTCTTTCTTTTCTTTTCTTTTCTTTTCTTTTCTTTTCTTTGTGTGTGTGTGTGTGTGTGTGTGTGTGTGTGTGTGTGTACTCGGAGGGGTTTCTGTGGGTTTTGTGTGGCCCAGACCCTGCAGCTGAAGTTGGCTTGGACCCCTAACCCTCCAGGCTCCACCTCTTTACAGTTGGGATGACAGATGTGTACACTCTGCCTACAACAATCATTTCCTCCAGGACAACAGAACCCGAGTCTCTGCTGTACAAAATATGCAATAAAATACCTAGCAACACAGGGGAAGAGGAAGCAGCAACCATGAGATGTCTTCCTGGGTGTGAAGCTGGCACCCAGAGTTGCAGAGATGTGTTATAAATATGCCCCAGGGCAGAGGGAAACTCAGCATGGCTGAGAGAGAATCTGAGTAGAAAACTTACTGGAAAAGAAGGAAAGGGAAACTTTACACTCTGTGTGTGTGTGTGCCTGCTACTTCACCTATGTACAGGATATGCATGTGTCAGAGAGAGTGCTTGTGGGAGTCAGGTCCCCATCATTGTGAAAACTAGAATAAAATAAATAATAACATTTTGTAAGCTCTCAAGACATAAAATGGATCAACAAACAACTGCAGTCCTATATGCTGGTGACAAGCAAAAAATAAAACATTCCTAATTTCACTTGTAACAGCTTCAAAATACAAATAAATGGAAGGAAAATTCAGAGATGAATGGGCAAGACATATCAAGGAATTATAACATATGAACCTTTTCAAAAAATTAACAGTCACAGGTGATGTCAATCAAAACTAGACAGCAAAGAAACACCGAAGGCCACTACCGAGTAAGAGAAAACATTTGTAAATCACACACCTGATGAGTGTGAGAGCCAAAATATACGAGGAACTCAGGAATCAACAGCACCCCCACCAAAAAAAAAAAAAAAGCAATATTTTTGAAAACAAGCAGCCAGGGGTGGTAGCGATGCTTGTAATATTCAAACTTGGGAGGCACAGGTAGGAGCATCAGTTCAGAGGCTAGCCTGGGCTACGTGAGATCCTGTTCCACAAACAACAACAAAAAAGAAAAAGAGGAGGGAGTTAAAAGAGGGAAGGAAGGAGGGAAAGAAAAAGAGGAGGAAGGAAAAGAAAAGACGCTGAAGGATGACTCTGTGGTTAAGAGCGCTTGTTGCTCTTGCAGAGGAGCCAAGTTTAGTTCCCAGCACCCATATAGAGGGGCTCACAACCATCTGAAACTCTACTTCCAGATCCCCCTGCAGGCACCAGCCATGCATGTGGTACACATACCTACATAAGATCGAAACACTTAAGGTTAAGAGAGACAGAGACAGGGAAGAAGGTAGGAGTGAGGAATGAAAGGCAAGCAGGATGGCAGGAAGGAAGGAAGAAGGGGAGGAAGGATAGAAGGAAGAAAGGGAGATTAGCAATGGACCCCATAAAACATTTTCCCAAGACCCAGACATAGCAGACAGCAACATGGAGAACTACAGTTGTCAGGGAAATGCTGATCAAACCACAGGGACACATCTCTACTTGAATGGCTACTACAAAAAACAAGAAGGGTGACTGCCAGGATGGTTCAGAGGTCAAGTGCTTTACCTTACAAGCATAGGGAATCTAGTTTAATCCCCAGAACCTACATTAAAACAAAACAAAACAACAAGTCCCAGATCCAGGAAGGTGGAGACAGGCAGATTCCTGAGGCTCACTGGTTGGCCTGCCAAGCCGACTCGGCAAATTCCAGAGCAGTGAGAGGTCACGTCTCAAGAAACAAGGTAGATTGTTTCTGACAAGTGACACAAGGCTCACAGTGGCTTCCACTCAGATGGGCACAGACACCCACAAAGACAAGACATGTGAAAGGGTGAAACAGGAACTCTTGTTACATTGTGGCAGGAACCCAAACTGGGGCAGCCCCCATGAAAAACAAAGGGATAACCTTCAAAAAGCTACAGCCAGAAGAGTCTGGTGCACACCTGTGAGCCCATCCTCGGGATGCAAGAAGCAGAAGGTGTCAGAGTGTCAGGTCAGCCTAGGTTATCACAGTGACAGCCTGTCTCAAGTCAATCACCTAACCAACCAATAGAATCAACGATTGACTCAATCTCTCTGGGGTATGTACTGGAAGGAGGTGAGTTCAGCACTTCCTAAAGACACCTGGGATCCACACTTACAGCAGCATCAGCACGATACCCAAGCCACAGAAGCAAGCTCAGCAGCCACCAGAGTAGGAAAAGAAAATGTGCTAAACACACACACCTGTACACGACAGATACTATTCTGCCAGGAAAAACAAGACAATACCATCCTTTCTGACCACACAGATGAACCTGGGGGCATAACCCCCCAAAACAACCCCCACATGACTTTGCTTCAAGACAAAATTCCAGAGACGAGTAGTCTGGTGACTGCTGAGGTAGAAGGCAGACGGGATATACTGGCACAGACCTCAGGGATCTATCTGGCACACAGCCTAGCGATTATAGTTAAAGCACACTTGGAACTTGCCGATGTGGGTCTTGAGAGCATTCTCACCACCCACACACTAAGGTCATTACTCCAGATGGGCTAACTTGACTGTGGCCATCACTTAGAGAACGTATCAAACATCACTCAGCACTCTTCAGATTTATGTGAAATCTACTTGTCAGTTATGCCCAGGAAAGCAGATGAACTCCTCAACTGGGAACTACTCCATGACTGCAATGAAGGCCAGTGTCCAGGAGTCAGACAGGACAGTACCAGCGAGGCCTTGGGACACTGGGTCTTGGCACCCACGTGGAATGGGGCAGCCGCCCTGGAGAGAGCCATCTCACAGCTTCTCAAAGGTTCGAGTCAGGGTCTCCACATGTGGCAGCCGCACACAAAACCCCAAAGTGGAAACAATATAAACTCAGCTGACAGTGGACAAGAACACGGCAGGGCCATGTGACACAGCTGTGCCAGGCTCTAAACAGCAAGACGTGATGCTGCACGTACCACACGAGAAGGTCTGCATGCAAACAGGCTGCCTATGAAAGAGCTCTGCTTGGGGAAGCCCAGACTAGACTTTGTACCCAGCACACAGAAGGTACAATAGCAGCTGTGAGGCATTCAGAAAAAATGCTCATATGTAAGGTTTGGGGGCATTTTTTTTTTTTTTGGCAGGGGCAGGGCAAGGTGTTAGAATGTTCTAAGATTAATGTAACAGCTGTAAAATTCTCTTTGTATTGTGTTGAAGTTTTTCCATAAAGAAAGGTTTGAACCCTCAAATGCAAAGCTAAAGCCCCTCCCACTCCTCAAATCCACTGTGCGCATCATGAGCAAGCTAATACCCGAGCTACAGTCCACAGCACACCACATCTCTGCTCTTGGGGCCTGAGGGTCAAATGACACTGGCACTGACCCAGGTGAACAGAGGGCAGGCAATCGCCAAAGCTGCCCCGAAATCAGACTGCGCTTTCTGCGTCATAAAGGGGCAGCCACTTACCTGGTGCTCACAGTGTTTGCACACCATGTTACTAGTGAGTCTTCCATGGAAAGGGTGTTGAGACTTCCAGTGATTGGACGTGGGGTGAGGAGACCCTAGAAGCAAAGCACATTTGACATGTCACATCACCCAAGATCCAACCAGACCCCACCCTCCTTAGCACACAGCAGATTTTCCTCCTTTAGGAAACTGTTTCATGAAGCACAGTGAGTTGTCCTTGCTGACTTCCAGTCTCATCCTCACAGAAGAAGCTTAAGGCCCGTGAGTGAGGCTGTGTACCATGGAGCAGACACCAAGAAGGATGCACATGAGATCTACAGGTGCACACGGACTGTTGGAGAGGACAGGAGGGGGAGAAGGATGCACATGAGATCTACAGGTGCACACGGACTGTTGGAGAGGGCAGGGCGCGGAGAAGGATGCACATGAGATCTACAGGTGCACACGGACTGTTGGAGAGGGCAGGAGGAGGCACAGGCTTTCCATAAAGCAAGGGAAGCACAGAAACAACCTGAATAAACAAGTTCTATAGGCTGCTCTTTGACGAGGATGGGGTTAGTAGACAAAACTCTCATGAGAAACTCTCTCTCGAGAATCAGACAGTCCTGAGTGAGGTCTTGAGTCTGTTTATTAGTCATGTGACCTGGAAAATTATTTCTTCTCTCTCCCCAACCTTTTTTTTGAGACACAGAAATATGGTCTTATGCTCTAACCCAGGCTGACCTAAACTTACTATACAGCCCAAACTGGCCTTAAAAACACAGTAAATCCTCCTGCCTCAGCATCACAAGTGTGGGACATGAGCCTACCGTTGGTTTCTGTAAATTTCATTTGGTGAAAATGGGTCATTGTTTCCTGGATCCACTGTGGAGCTCAGATAAGAGTTGTGGAGCCTGGTGCTGCCAGGGACTGACTGCCAGCTCAACTACAACGACCCAGAGGCTGTGCTGATTCAACTCTTGAGAATACAAAGGGTTCTCTGCAGTGAAAGCTGGCCACAGTGGAAATGCTGAAGGACAGATTTCCGTTTACTGGATCTTTCTCAGGACTAACATTCAAGGGGAGATAGGGCAGCTTGCCTAGGGCAAGCGGAAGTGGTGAGAATAGCCTAAGCTGGGATAGAGGACTCGGAGTGCCTCATTCAAAGCTTTTTCCAGAACACTCCAGGCCCTCAGCAGACGTGGAGGTCCAGCACAGCTGCAGCTGGATGCTGCCAGCAAGAGAGACACACGTAGCGCTTGACCCATCTAAAAGGTGCACAGTTTGCTTTCATTCCTTTCTTTAGAAATACACATTGAATCAGTAGAAAATGACTACCTCTTGTGTGGCAGGTGACTTGTCTGGGAGTCAAGTCTGACTGTTGCTGTAGGAAGAAAAGAGAGACTGAAAACACAGTTGCAACCCTTTAACAGCCCTCGCCCCCCAGCAATCTTATAAGTTTCTGAGCCACCCGTAACGCTGTCCACAGCCCACGCTCTGAAGGTGGCACTGACGGCCTTCGGGTTGATTTCTACATGAGTTCCTATATGGTGGCCACAAACATGTTTCTTCTCTCTGGGATGCTTCCCCTTCGCCAGTCAGCTCTTTACAGCGTTACAGGGAGATAAGCACCCACTCGGGGAACCCATGGCCCTCGCCCCCCTCTACTAACAGGGAAAACAGCCTTATTCTCTCCTCCAACAAAACCCAAGCTGCAGCAGCGAGTCATCTTAAAGAAGCTGGCCCCTAGTACACACACCAACAGGAGCATGCTGTCTAAGGTTTGCCAGCCTCACACCTCCGGTCACTGGATCTTACGTTCACGTCTAGGCCTGATGAAGACTCACTGCATAAGCACGGGCTGCCATGAAGACCTTACCTCCAGGGAATGAACATCGAACAAATGAGTGACACGAGGCTGGCGGTCCCGTTCGTCCTCCAGTGAGGAGGTGATGACATGGAATAACTCGTGGGCATCCTGTCAAAGGACAGAGCATCCTTGAGAGAGCACAGCAGACCTGACCCTTACCAGGGCAGAGTGTTTTCTGTTTTCTCAGGGTCCCACTCACTGAAGGACACCTGCACCCAACTCCAGGAGGGGCTTCCTTTAAAAACAAGGCGAGATGTACACAGTACAAAATTCAACACCTCAACCTTGCCAGGGGCACAGCAGCAGCACCGAGCACGTTCACATCGCTGTGCCACCAGCACCACTGTTCATCTCCATCTGAGACACCACAGCCACCATCCTACCTCTGTCCTGAGAAATCTGACAGCTCACATGAATGGAACTGGACTCACTACTGTCCTGCTTCTGTGCCACTGTACACCGTAGAACATGTATTTTCCTGAGCACAATGTCTTCAAGGTTTATCCACAATGTAGCATGAAGCAAAATCCCCTTCCTTTAAGGGCTGACTGTATAAAATTTTGTTTGGGGCTGGAGAGACAGTTCAGTGGATGAGAGCACTGGCTGCTCTTGCAGAGGACCTGGGTTTGGTTCCCAGCACCCTCATGGTGGCTCATGACCATCTGTAACCCATTTCAGAGGATCTGAGGCCCTCCTCTGTCCTCTTGGAACACACGAGACAAACACCTACACACAGAAAATAAAAATAAATATTTAAAAAAGTATTGCTTTTGTTGTTGGGGCTGATGATGCAGCATTGTGGTTGGGCGGGCAAAGCCCTGAGGCTCAGTGACCAAGGGAAGGATTTTATCTTCATATCTCTGCCCACTGGCAGGCACTTGCACGTTGTGTAATATTTTGATTGTGTTCTGACAAATAAAGCTTGTCTGGAGTCAGAGGGTGAAGCTAGCCACTAGCTGACCAAAATTAACCACAGAGGTTTAGAAGACTATACACAGAGAGAGACAAGAAGACAGGGTGGATAGAGGATCTCGGCCTTTTTAAATGGCGAATGGTAAAGATAGGAGGTGACTGGTGGCTGCTCCCTGCTTCTCTGATCTTCCAGGTTCTTTCCCTGCTATCTGACTCCCGATGTCTTATTGATTAAGATTAATTACATGAACTCTTCACTTGCAGTGCTCTGCCTGCTGACTTCTGTGGTGGACACGCCCATGACTCTCTGCTCCAATACTTGGAATGAGTGCAGAGGTGGCATTACTGGCTCCTGTGACAGGAAATGTCTCTTAGGAGCAATCTGAAAGACCTCTGGGCTCCTTCTCTCCCCGTCGCAGACCCTGGGCCCCCAGGCCTGTGGATTGCACCGAGTCTCACTGCACACAAGTGCAGGGTGATTGTTTTAAGCTGGTAGAGCAGATCCCATATTTGAGCTCAGTGTCAGGCCACAGTAATCAGTTCTTTCAGCTTTTATTTATGTCTGGCTTTGCAGTGCTGGCATGGAAGCCAGAGTCCCGTGCATTCCAAGCAGGCACTGGACACTGAGCTCACCCAGCTTCTGAAGGACCCCATCCAGCCTGATGGCAGTTCCCTCCGCCAAAGAGAAGCCTCCCCCGACCTGCACACAATGGCTTCTAGAGCAGACGAGGGCCCCACATGCTCCTGAGAAGTCCTGTACTCAGTGACGGACTTAGCCCTGGCTTCTTCTGTGATCCCACAGCATACCCAGCTTATTCCAATTCCAGGCTTCCCTGACCTTCAGTGCTGCCCCCTCCTCTTCCTACTCTCCCTTCAGGCCTCCCATCCCTACCCCTGCGCTGAGGCACACCCTAAAACAATCCAGTCACCTGCATGCTCCTTCCCACCACCCACTGGGCCAAACCAGCATGAAGCTTTGGCTCCAACCCCTAAGTACACTCCAACTCCAAACCTCTCCAGCTCCTGCCTATGCCTCACTTGAGCTATGCCATTCTAGGCTGGATCCCTGAAGCAGCCCCCACCTTTCCTCAGCTAACAACCGGGCCCTGCTGTATAGGATAGTTCTGTGTCTCCTCACACAAGCTAGAGTCAGCAGAGAGGAGGGAACCTTCAAGTGAGAAAATGCCTTCTGTAAGATTGGGCTGTAGAGGGGCTGTAGAGATGGCTCAGAGGTTAAGAGCACTGGCTGTCCTTCCAGAGTTCAATTCCCAGCAACCACATGGTGGCTCACAACCATTTATAACAAGATCTGGTGCCCTCTTCTGGCATATAGGCACATATGTCGACAGAGCACTGTATACACAATAAATAGATCTTTTAAAATAATTGGACTGTAGGCAAGCCTGTGGGGCATTTTCTTAGTTATCAATCGATGGAAGAGGGCCCAGCCCACTGTGGTTGGGTAGTGCCAACTCTGGGCTGGTAGTCCTGGTTCTATAAGAAAGCAGGCTGAGCAAGCTATGGTGAGCAAGCCAGTAAACAGCACCCCTCCATGGCCTCTGCATCAGCTCCTGCCCCTTGCTTGAGTTCCCGCCCTGACTTCTCTCAAGATGGATTACAATGTGGAAGTGTAAGTCAAATAAACCCTTTCTTCTCCAACTTTCTTTTGGCCATCATGTGTCCACACAGCAACAGTGGCCCTAACTAGGACACTCACCAAGCAGAAATCACAGCAAACTGGGGCACTATTTCATCATCCTACAATTTTAATTTAGCCAGGCGGTGATGGCACACGCCTTTAATCCCAGCACTTGAGAGGCAGAGACAGGTGAATCTCTGTGAGTTCAAGGCCAGCCTGGTCTATGGGAGCTAGTTCCAGGACAGGCACCAAAGCTGTCTCAAAAAACAACAAAAAAAATTTTTTTTTAATTAAACGTAATTTGGAGTACTGGGATGGGACCTTGGGCAAGTGAGTCCACCTCTGACCTGAGCTACAGGTGACCTTGAGCTCAGGTGTGCAAGTGCTTATCCAGAGGCAGTTGTGGAAGGCCACCCACCATCAGCCAATGGCACAAGCGCAGCTCAGGCCTGTCAGGAAGGAGACCCAGCAGGTAGCTGGCTCTTTCTGTAGGCTCATACAGCCTCTGTGTCAGCCAGTCTGTAAGCTGCTCGGGCTATGAGGAAAGGGGCAATACTACAGAAGAGGGTGGAGGGTGACAGCTTCAGCCCTGCCTCTGCCGCTGATACAGCAGGAGACTGGGCAAGTCACTTTGCCTCTGTGACCCTGTGCTCCCATCTGTACCCTGACTCCTTACTGGGCTGCACAGGGATGCAGTTAGGTAAAGCACATGCAGGATTGAACCTAGTGCATCTCCTATAAACCAGCTATAGCTCCTGGTTTAGACACAAAATGGGCTGCCCGTCAGTGTGAGCTGGCTCTGGACCAACAGCAGACCAACACTCTGTCCGCTTCAAGGAGCAAGAGATGTACTAACATAGACACGGTGGCTGCATCATGACTGGACCATCAGCTGCCATGCACGGACTTTTGGAAATAGTCCCAAAGGTGACTTGGCTTGAGAAGGTCCTTGACAGAAGGGTGGGACTTACAAAAAGGAACAATGCCCTTGGAGACTGACCTGGGAGTCACTCTCCCAGCTGAGACCCAGGGAAGGACAGCTGAGTCAGTCCAGCAGCTGAGGTCAGTTCCAAATGGAGATAGAAACACACAGAGTTCAGCGCACAAGTGCAGCCAGCAAGAGAAACCTTCACAAAGACACTCATCACCCATTTTGTGTTTGAAACACGGCACAGGGCTTCAGATCAGGGAGGAACAAGAAATAATCTGTAAGACCAAGGGGTGTGGGCCACTCACCCATCCCATGTTTCCACACCTCCCATCCAGCCCCAGTGTGGTCATCTCTGAGGAGCTGCTCTCTGCCAGGCCACTTGGAGACGCAGCTGGGAAAGATGCGTCTGGGTGCTGGGGAAGCTGGAGTGTGTCACTCTGGGGACCCAGGCAGGAGGGCGGCATGCCAAATTCCAAAGATCACAATGAAGTTGCAAAAGGGGAGGGAGAACATCTTGAACAAAGCCCGGTGGCTGTGAGAGATGCCTGCTCAAGGCCTGGGGGCGCTAAAGTCATCTCTGAAGATGGGTCCTTTGGAACAAGGGTATGGGCTGGAGGGTCTCTCACGACTTGGAGTGCAGTCAGTGGAAGCCGGAAGTTCTCCTGTGTGACCACTGTTTTCGCCCAAGGCCAGGTGTCTATCCCTAAGTGTCATGGAGTTTTGTGTCCTCTTTGATCAGGACAGGAGTGAGACATTGGAGCTCTGCTCACATAACACTAAGGCTGCCCAAAATGTCCCAGAAAAGCAGAGGATATAACTCACTGGGAGAGCACTTGCCTAGCGTATTCAAGGCCTGGGCTTGATCACACACACACACACACACACACACACACAGTCCCTAGGAAAAAGGACTCTCCAAGCTCAGCCTGCTGTCTGGAGTGCTCACCTGTTCTTCAAAGGAAGAGATCTGCCACCTGTACATTCTCAAGACATCCAGAAGGCAGCTCGCATCCAAGACCTCATCCTCCGTGACTTCTTGGCAGGACAAAGCTGGGTACAAGAAAGGAAGACAACAACTGAATGAGAGCAGACCTGGCCAGATGTGTCGCACACCACAGCAGCAGAGGTGACAGCAGTGTCAGGTGGCACCGCAGCTCCCTCTTCCCTCACGCTCTTTGGAGCCTCACACACTGCTGAATCAGCAAGCAGGCACAGCATGTTGGTTGAATGAATCTTAAGATTTCAGGTAGCTACAAATTACCATGACTGTCAGTTGAGTATGATCTGAACTCATAATCCCCAAGGTTGAAGAGCCCTCGTACTAGGTCAACTCCACACCCAGCGTGGAGCACCTCTCTCCACGCCTCTGCCATGACTTCTCAGCCTTTGCTCGTACGGACCACCAGGCTCTAAGCGTGCTTGGATGCATAAAGCAGCTGAAGGGGCAGCTGAATGCATTAGAAGTTTGTCTGGCATAGGCTGCTGAGGTAGGAAGATTTCTTGACCCCAGGAATTTGGAACCAATCTTGTCAGCAGAACAAGGTCCTATCCCAGATAATGATAACAAAGAACAGTATAAATTATAAAAAGATAGAGTTGGGTTTGCTCTATCTACACCGAGGGTCAGGAGGCAGCCTCTGTGGATGGAGCAGCCTCTGCGGATGAAGCAACCTCTGTGGAAGAAGCAGCCTCTGCAGATGGAGCACAGATACAGCCTAGACACTAAGAGGCTTCACTAGCAAGACAGGCAGCCCCAGGACTGGAAGGGCTGCAGTGGTTATAGGAACTTGTTGCTCGATCATGAGGTTTGGAGTTCAGAGCCCAGCGCCAACATCAGGCAGCTCTCCACCTCTAACTCCAGCTAAGGATACACACACAGATGCACATAGGCACATAAACAATACAAATGCATTGAAGCTGGGTGTGGGGGTGGTGCAGGACTTTAATCCCAGCACTCAGGGGATAGAGTCAGCTGGATCTCTTTGACTTTGAGGCCAGCCTGGGCTACACAGTAGACTCCAGGACAGCCAAGGGTACATAGTGGCATCCTCCCCCCCCCCCCGCCCCATCCCCTCACGCACACAAACTAATACAACAACAAAAAAAGATGGGGCCCTAGACTGGCCACAGGCACAGAGTGCTGACTCTAATCTGACCAGAGGCCTCCAGACGCAGTGCACAGGGCTAGTGTTGCTCAAGTGGGAGGTAAAGAAAGACCCTGCAGTCTCAGGATCTGGTTCAGTGATCCACGTACTACAGGGCAGACTTTCTCCTCCTTGGTTTTGACACTTCAGACTCTGACTCCAGAGGGTGGCAACACTGCAGACCTCCTGCCCCCAGGGCAGCCCCACCCTTTGACAATGGCCAGAGCCTCAGGGGCAGGGCACGGGAGGTTGCTACCTGAGCAGCAGGAGGTGAGCAACTAGGCCCAGCCACTCACCCTCCAGGACAAAGGCTGTAGAGCTGAATAAGAAATCACACTCCTGGGAAAATGTCAATGGCTGCCTGGGACGCTGTGAGGCAATCTGGCAAGGTCACTGGCAGTTTCATAACCTGCCACCAACAGTAGAGCTCCGCCCGATACCTGAGGACACACGCTTCTGTGTAATGGCCATATGCAGAGCTGCTACTGCAGCCGGAAGGAAGGCTGAACAGCAGGGATCATAGACAAGCTGAGCTAAGAAGCAAGGGCCGCAAAGGGGCTAAGACGTAGGGTACACAAAGTGCCAGGGCTGCAGAGGCTGCTCAGAAGCTAAGAGCGCTTGTGTTCTCCAGAGGACTCAAGTTCAGCTCCCAGCTCACCTTTCTAAGTCCAGCTCCAGGGAACCCAGTGCCCTCTTCTGGCCTCCATGACACCTACATACATGTGCCCCCCCTCCCACATACACATCAATTTTTAAAAGAAAAAAATTCTAATAAAAAAGTACTAAGAACAACAAAACCCCAAACTCAAACACAGGCAGAGCCTTGAGCAGCCATTTCTAGACAATGGCCCACAAGCAGGAGAGCTGCAGTGGCCACTCATCATCAGGGAAATGGCAATGCCAGAAAAATACCACCTCATGTGCCTATATGTAGGTGTGTGTGTCTATGGAGGCCAGAGTCGGATGTCACAGCACCTCATACACATATATGTAGGTGTGTGTGTCAATGGAGGCCAGAATTGGACGTCAAACCTCTTCCTCCACTACTCTCCACCATATTTTTTGAGACCAACACGCTCGCTAAAACTGGAACTCATTGCTGGGTTAGACTGGCTGGCCGCGGGGACTCCTCTGTCTCTGCCAGGCCTTGCTGGGATTACGGCATGTGCTCCCAGAGCCTCTTGGTCCACACGCTTGGGCAGGAGCACTTTCCCACAGGCCAAGTGCTGCTGTAGCCAGGCAGTGGCACAGTGAATGTTTGCTAAGACACCAGTAACTGTGCTGCACCAGGATCACCTCCATTTTAACCTCCTGCCTAGAAAGCAACCATTAGCTGTGAAGCTCCCGTGCCACTAAGATGAAGTCACATTCTACTTTCTATGCTGCTCCTTTTAACATTATTACCTCCCCCAAATTAAAAGAGATCAAACCGTGGTAAAGCAGCCCTGTTTGGTGGCTTCTGTCAGGCACCCACAACCCTGGGTGTTTAGGAACATGCTGGAGACCTTTGCGTACTACCATGTAATATCCAGATTTAAACAAATACCATCAAGGACAGTTCAATAGTTAAAAATAATAAAAACAAAATTTTTGCTCAAAACTGAATTGGGATTGATGAGATGGCTTGGCAGGTAAGGGTGCTGATACAAAGTCTAATGACCTGATTTAATCCGAAACCCAAGGGGCCATGCCATGTCTATGTACCTAAACACACACACACACACACACACACACACACACACACACGTAAGCAAATAAATAAATAACCTTTTTGCACACAGATTTACAATAATGAGGTTGAACAGGTGGCCTGAAGGGATGACTCAGCAGTTAAGAGTTTAGCTGCACTTTCAGAGGACTCAAGTTCAGTTCCCGGCACCACGCGAGGACAGCTCACGACTGCCAGTAACTCCAGCTCCAGGAGACCCGACTCTCCCTCATGGCCTTCACAAGCACCCACACATACACATAAATAAAAAGTCTTCACATCTTTCTGCAGACACTAACAGCAGCCACAAGGAAGACTTTTAGCCGTGAGATTTTCAGGCCAGACAGCACTGGCCAGGGTGCAAGGGCTCCCGAGCTGTTCTAAAGCACATTCAAGAAAGGTCAGACCAAGTTCCACCCCCATCGCAGTGTGTGCACACCCCAGTTAACAACTGCCAGGCTCTGGCATCTGCAATTTGCTTTTTAATCTTTTCTGACAGGCAAAAGGAAGCAAATCCTAAGAGCTTTTATTTGTCTTTACTTTGTGAATGATCTTAGTTCCTGGGCCAAAACACTCACTTTCTAAACAAACTTCTAAGAGTTGAAGTGTGGTAGTGGATATATTTATTTGTTTCTTTTTGGTTTTCTGAGACAGGGTTTCTATGTGTAGCCCTGGCTGTCCTGGAACTCACTCTTTAGACCAGGCTAGCCTCAAACTCATAGACATCCACCTGCCTCTGTCTCCCAAGAGGTGGGATTAAGGAGCGAGCCACTACTCCTGGCTAAACTGACAATTTTTAAAATAGATGGCTCCATTTTTTAATTTTTTTTTTTTTTAAAAAGTGGGGTTGGTGAGATAACTCTGTAAGAAAAGGCACCTGCCACCAAATCTCACAACCTGAGCTCAGACCCCAGGAGCACACAGCAGAAAAGAACCAAAGTTACCTTGTTATGTGTGCTATGGCACACAAGCATGCATATACAATAAATGCAACTTTTAAAAAAATTCTGACTGATTTAATTTGAATGCAATTGATTCTAATAAAACATAACTAAAATTTAACTTTTAATCTAATTTAATCTAAAAATCTTAGTTCTGAATGCCCCCCTCACCATGCAAAATGGCTACTAAGTTTTTCTTCTGTTATCTCCTCACTGAAGATGCGTACCCCTCAAGTCCCCACTGTACCTTTCAGGAGGTTCAGCAGTGTTAAGGACAGGCACTGGTGTGTGTGTGGTCCCTGCTGGTCCCTGGAGTACTGGGTGGTGAATTCTTCCAGCCACTTGACGAAGGCGGGACAGGCAGACAATCCCTGTAGCAGCGAGTTCATGAAGCAGGTGTTCCCTAAGTTGACAAGCCCAGGCACAAGTCCTAATGGAGAGCGTGGGTAGAGAAGGACAGTGCATCAGCTGGGCCGACCTTTGCTCTCCCGTCTGGGGTCTGGGGCCCTGCGTCTGCAGGGAGCCCTCAGCTGGGATTCCGACCTGAGCAAGCCGGGGGCACTGGGCATTCTATGCTATGAACTGTGAACCACACAACAGGCCTCTGTCCTGTGTTCTCTCTGAAATCCTTCCAGGTGCCTGGCACAGATATTAAATGGACAAAGGCAGTAGCCACGCCTTCCTCCTTACCCTCGTGTTCTCCTTTAGTTAGAGAACAGTGTCCCCACAGCAGCGGGCAACTCAGCTGCCTCCTGGGACAATGCTTTTGTTCTTGCCACAGTGACCAAGAAAGACGCTGATTCTGGTCAGTCTGTCTGCAAAGACAGCAGCACAGCTGACAGGATGCCCTCTTTCCCTCAGTCCATAAGCGCCCAGGCTGGCCTCAACCTCAAAGCCTCCTGCCTCAGTCTCCTAGGCTCTGACTGTGTGTGCTACCCAAGCCTTGTTAAGAAACATTTTAATATGAAAATTCTCAAACATCCAAGAAAACACAAACAAAATTCTCCACAACCATCTCCTTATTTAACAAGGATCAGAGTTTGTGATAGACTTGGGTTCCTCCTCCCTCCCAGTTCTCCCCTTCCCTCCTCTTTCTCAGGAAAACCACTCCTTTGATGTAATCAGTCAGCTGCAGGACTGAAAATATAATTACACACTAATGAGAACCTCAGACAACTGAGCCACTTGAAACATAATTACAAAGCATGCCCCCTTGCCCTCCCCACTCCTCACCCCACCAACTCCACTCAGGTCTTGCCTGTGTAACACTGCCTGGCCAGGCACTGCTGTATAGCACAGGCTGGATTCAAACTCATGGCATGGCATCCTCCTGCTCCAGCGCTAAGTGCTGGAATTACAGGCATGAGCCACCAGGCTAGCACAAAACATGTCTTAAAATCAAGTGCAAAAAGGTGCTAAACCAGAGCCTTCTCACCTAAGAGTGGGGAGTTCCCCCTCACAGACCACGGTCCTTACTTTAAAGATGAGAGGACAAGGGAGCTAGAGAGATGGCTGCTCTTCCAAAGGTCCTGAGTTCAATTCCCAGCACCCACATGGTGGCTCACATCTGTATATCACATTACCATCTGTAATAAGATATGGTGCCCTCATCTGGCCTGAAGGCAAGCATGCCAGCAGAACACTAAATGTGTAATAAATAAATAAATCTTAAAAAAAAAAAAAACCAAACACCCAATCCCTTTCAGACAAGAGGGACTCAAGTCAAATCCAATACCTTTCCTCCGCTTCTTCCTTTCTGTAATGGGACCCCAAATAACATATATTCCTGCTGCAAGAGCAGCCGCAATTCCGCCTATCACTCCCCAGTTCTTCATGACTTTATATCTAAAAAAGAAAAGACACTTACTGTCATTTTGTTTCACAGAAGCAGGTGGGTACACAGACACTGACAGGGAGAATGACTTTGTCAAAATAACCCACCAATCAGCAAGCTTTAAACTTAAGGTAATATACACCAATAAGACTGTCTTGAAGCAGGCCACGGACACATAAGCCTTTAATCCCAGCAACGGGGAGGCAGAGGCAGGCAGATCTCTGACTTCAAAGCCAGCCTGGTCCTGTATAGTGAGTTCCAGGACAGCCAGGGATACACAAAGAAACCATGTCTTGAAAAACAGGAAGGAAGGAAGGAAGGAAGGAAAGAAGGAAGGAAGGAAGGAAGGAAGGAAGGAAGGAAGGAAGGAAGGAAGGAAGGAAGGGAAGGAAGGAAAGGAAGGAAGATTGTGTCTTGAAAATCAGGATGCTTAAGCACTAAGAACCAAACTGGGGGTGGGGGAGGGGCTGACACCGGCGTCCTCATCATCAGTCCCTTCAGGCTGAGCCTCTCATTTGAACACAGAGCTCACTGGCACAGCCGCTCAAATTCCCATGCTTCTCCTAGGCCAAGCGCAGGCTATGCCAGGCTACCTGGTGCTCACATGGCTTCTGGTGATCTGAACATTGCTCCTCACACTTGCTGCTTGGGCGGTAAGCTCTTGAACACCTGAACCATTTCCCCAGGCTCGCCCTATTTACTTACTTACTTAGTTTTTTAGATAGAGTCTCCCTCAGTCACTCTGTAGCCCAGGCTGGCTTTGAACTCAAGAGTCCTTCTACTTTAGCCTCCTGAGCAATTAGAATGACAGAGTTGTGGCATCATGCCTGGGTTTAGAAATGGATTTCTCTGTGGGAATACTGAACAATACGAGAGGGATCTTCTGCAAATTCATAAGATTAAAGAGTTCTTCATTTCAGGCTTGACTTGAACACAGCACGATTCTACTACAGATAAGGAAACCACAGTACTATCCAAAACACAATTTTAAGGGAAATCACACTTATGTGCAACATGTATCCACATACATGTTGCATGTGGACATGTGTGTAATACGTTTTTACCCTAATGTTTGGACTGTATGAAGTTGATTTTCCCCCTCAGTACCAGGGACTGAATTTAGGGCCTCATAGCTGATACACGAGTGCTCTACCACTGAGCTATATCCCACCCCGACTGCATGAATGTGTATCCCAGCTCAATAAGCACTCACTGAGAAGGGGCATTAGGGACAATACTAGGGCACTAGTAACCGTCGGCAATAGCCAGCATTCTCCGACATCACAGCTAATCGTGAATTTCAAATCAATATTTGTTCTTCCAGAATGAGTCCATAGAATGACGCAGAACTTGGCTTAAAAGAAAGAAGCAGAGTGTGGATTGATTGGTTCCTCTGCAGAGTGGTATCATAGGGAAGAGTAGGAAAGTCTGGGAGGGAGAAGCCCAAGCAGAGGCCAGTCCTGCTCTCAGGTCAGCAGTTAGGCCACAGGCAAGGTCTATGCAAGGCTTAGTTCTCATCGCTAAGGACAGGTTGGACACTGGAGGCTTCCAAGGAGGGTAAGGCAGTGTTAGAGCTGCCCCAATATCCCAGGAAGACAACCCAAGCAACAGGTCGGACCCAGCAGTCAGGGTGAGCAATGGGGGTGTGGTCCCAGGCCTTGGGAGGATAGAGGTAAACAGGCTGGGTGCACGCAGGGGTCCTAGGAGGAACGAAGAGCCTTAAGTAGTTACAGACTGAGCAGCTTAGCAGCTGAGGGGCTGCGATAGATTGGAGACCGGCGCATGTAAGACGCAGAAATGAGAACTGCCAGCAGGGCAGAGGTGGGAGACAGACATATAACAAACTGGAGGGGACATGCAGACCTGGGAAGACTGAGGGCCTGGGGTCCGGGTCTGGGGTCACCGAAAAGGATGCGGGACCTCGCAGGCCGCGGCCACTGCAGGGACGAGAAAGCGGCGCTGGGCCGCGGTGTCTGTCTCGGCCCGGTTGGCGCAGGCCTGGAGGCCCCGGGCCCGCCATCCTCCGCCCGCTCACCTGACGGCCGCCCCGGTGCGCAGGAAGCGCTGGAGGGCCTTGTCGGCCGCCGTCCTCGCCGCCTGCGCCCGGGAACTCAGCATCACGGCCGCAGCCACCACCACCACCGACAGCCGCCGCCCCCCGCCCGCAGCAGCGTAAAGAGGATCCCAGTACGCGACGTTCCCCAGGCGACGGAACCCACGGTAGCCACCCCGTCTCGGCGGGGGGGAAGGCAGGACGACAAACCGGAAGTTGCTGTTGCCGGACCGCAATAGTGGACGGACAAGCTCTTACCGATTCCTTTTCCCTTAGCAACCGCGGCCTGATTCGTTGCTAAGGGAGGCTTTCCGGGCTGTGGACTGCTTCAGAATAAGCTCAGGCTACAGTCAAAAACGCAGACGCTTCTCAATTAAAAAAAAAAAAAAAAAAAAAAAAAACGCAGACGCTCCGCCTTCAGGACAGAGCTTGGGTCATGTTTCTTGTGGAAAGGCTGTTATTAAACTGAGAGATTTAAAAATTAGATGTTTCCATCTTTGATTTAAAAAAAAAATGTGGACTGGCAAAATGGCTCTGCACCTAAAGGCGCCTGCCCCCAGATCTCACAACCTGAGTTCAGTCCCTAGGACCATACGGTAAAAGAGAACCAAAGTTATCCTAACCTCCCTAAATATGCTCTGGTGCACACGCGCGCGCGCGCGCGCGCGCGCACACACACACACACAGACACAGATACACATACAAAAACACACATATACGTTCTGGAACACATACACACGCACACACATCCATGTGCACACACAATAAATTAAAATGCAGTGTTTAAAAAATGTTTCTATTAGGTTCATACTTCCTACAAAGTCCTACATAACGGTTCTTAGAATCACTCTTAAAAACAGCAAAACACGAACACAAACCAGATATTTCTCAGGTGATGAATTGCTGTCAAATGTATAATAAATAAATACAATTATAATTCCTGCCTTGCATGAGCACGTTGCTGTGTGGCGTTTCTCTCCTGAAAACTGTGTGTGTTTTGAGCAACTCTCCCTATCCCTCCTCCTTCACCCTAGGAAGTACCTTCTATTTCTGAGCCTATGAGGTTGGCTGTCTCCAGTACTCTCGTGGGAAGAGTCTTGGTGGTTGGCTTAGTTTGCTTGGTATAAAGTCTTTTTTATAGCAAAATAACATTCCATTGTAAGTACTAGCTCCTCTCCTCTATCTTCTTCTCAGTGGACACTCAAGTTGTTCCCGTTTCTTGGCAATAAACACGGCCTCGTTTTCAGTCCTTCTGGATCTGTACCAAGTAATGAGATAACAGATTTTTTTTTTGAGACAGAGTTTTTCTGTACCATTTGGAGCTTGTCCTGGAACTCAATGTGGAGACCAAGCTAGCCTTGAACTCACAGAGATCCACCTGTCTCTGCCTCCCAAGTGCTTGGACTAAAGGCGTGAGCTACCACCACCCAGCAAGATCACAGATTTATATTGTAATTATTTTTCAGACCAGTTTATATTGTTTTTTATAGCAACTGAGCCATTTTACAACCTTTAGCCAATTAAAAAATATTACATTTATTTACTGGAGAGGCATGTGTCATAATGTGGCACATTAAAAGACAACTTGAGGGACTTTGTTCTCTCCTTCCACCATGTGGGTTCAAACCCAGGTAACCAGGCCTGGTAGCAAGCACCCTTACCTGCTCAGCCATCTTGCCAGCCCAGTTTATAAGTGCACTAGTTCCGTGACACAAGGAACACACTCTAGCTTCCATATAACTTTTAAATCAAAGAGTGATTTCCCAGTCTCTCCATAGCGTCTGCTTCACATTTTGTCTTTATGGATTTGTCATTTCTACATGCTGTGTGAATTCAATACCGTCTGACCTTAAAAAAACATTATGGATACAGTGTTCTGTCTCCATGTGTGTCTGCAGGCCAGAAGAGGGCACCAGATCTCATTATGGATGTTGTGAGCCACATGTGAGTGCTGGGAATTGAACCCAGGTTGTCTGAAAGACCAGTCAGTGCTCTTAACCTCTGAGCCTTTTATGCTCAGCTTTTTTCATTTAGCATAATGTTTTCAAGGTGCATCCACTGTCCAGCTTCTATCAGACTTCATTCTTTGTGGATGAACACACGTTTGATGAGCTTGAGATCTGCTCTTCCTACCTCCCCCTTCCGAATACTGCTGTTGCAGGTGTGTGCCACCATGGCCACTTTTGTGCACTTTTGGGAATTGAACCCATGCGTGTTAGTTGAGCACTCTCCCGACTGAGCTACACCCCAGGCCCCCCTCTCAGCTTCAGAGAAAGGTGTTGCTTTTAAACATTGGTGCACAGGTATCTGTTCGAGTTCCTGCTTTTGGAATACATTGAGGATAGAGATGGGAGTCCAGGGCGGGTCTGTTCCAGTTTAACTTCTTTCGCAGTGATGAACTGTCCTGATGAAAAGCATCTGAGGGCAAAAAGAGTTTCTTTCAGCTCACAGTTCCAAGTTACAGGCTGCTGTTTGGGGGAAACCACAGTGGTGGGACCTTCAGGTGGTGTGTTACAAAACATCAGTAGCCAAGAGCAGAATGACAGCCAGGTGGTGGTGACACATGCCTTTAATCGCAGGACTCAGGAGGCAGAGGCAGGGGGATCTCTGGGTCTGAGGCCAGCCTGGTCTACAGAGCGAGTCCTAGGTGAGCCAGGACTACACAGAGAAACTCTGTCTTGAAAAAAAAAACAAAATAATAATAATGAAAATAAAATAAAAATAAAGACACATAGGGCGCACTAATGTAGACCATTCCCATTGAGAATCACTTCCCAGGTGACTCTACGTTGTGTTCAGTTGACAAAGCTAATTATCATGGGGTTGCATTGTAACTCAAGAGCATTTGAGTCTATCATTGAGAAGATGATAGACTCATTGAGAAGTCTATCATTGAGAAGACCAGATGCTACTGACCAGTGTTTGCATTGCATGTAATATATATGTGCATATATATATACATATATAGATGATGTCATAACAGACATGCACACACACAGCCATGTATATAAATTTTGAGGCAGAGCCTTAAACCCAGTGTGTAGGCAAGGACAACCTTAGGTTCCTGGTCTTCATGAGTGCTGGAATGATAGGCTTGCACAGCTGTATCCAGTTTTACTCAGTGCTGGGGTTGGAATCCAGATCTTCATGCATGCCAGGCAAGCCTGTGCCAGCAGTCACATCTCCAGGCCTACACTGGACACCTTTAGGATAGTGTCAACCTCCTGGACCACTCAGCTGAGGCTAGGGGTCATGTTACCCGGTGTGCTATAGGGCAGTGGTGGGGTAGACTATGAATGAGTATGGGTGGTACAGACTGCAATAAACAAACAAGAGGTAAAAGGTAGCCCAGAGGGGGTAGGGAGATGGCTCGACGTGTTAAGCACTTGATGTGCAGCTGTAAGGACAGCAATTTGAATCCCCAGGACCCACATAAAGTGCCCAGTAGGACTGGAGGCCTCCAGGAAGTCCTGGCATAGGAGGTGGACACAGGGAAGCCCAAGAGCAAACTGACTAGACGGACAGGCTGAAACAGTTAGTTCTGGAATCTAGGAAAGTCCTCAGAGAGAACCTCCAAAGCAGACACTGGATGCCAACCTTGTGCCTCCACACCTGTGCACACACACAAGTGCATGCACCTTCACACACATGTGCAACCCTACATGTGTGAACACAAACAAATACACACACCACAAATGCACACATGTGAGAGAGTTAACAGAGATGGCTACAGGCTGTTAGGCGCAAATGTCGCTCTGTCCACAGACACTGATGGGTTTTCAAAGTCCCTCTGCTAGGTGATGTGTGATGTCCCCAAGGCCATGTACTCAAAGCAATGGTTCCAGAGGCTCCTGACTTTGGAAGGCAGGGGAAATGCTAGGAGCTCGGACCTTGAGGGAGAGATCAGCTTTTTGGAGTGTGCTTTTTACATTTTTGTATTTATTCTTTGAAATTGTGTATGTGAATGTGTGTGCAGTATTCAAGGAGGCCAGAAGAGGGCGTCAGATTCCCATGGAACTGGAGTTACAGGCAGTAGTGAGCCACCTGCTGTGGGTACTGGGAAGTAAACTTAGGACTTGAAGAGCAGCAGTGCTCATAACCTCGCAGCCATCTCTCTATCCCCTGGCTTTTATGGCTTTTTGTTTTGCTTTCAGTTCCCAGACAAGGTGCTGAGAATTGAACTGGGATCCTGCTTTCTCCAGCCCCTATATCAGCCTTTGAAGGTTGCATCTGGGCTCCAGGCCCTTGCCCTCTGCCTCCTGGCTGCCTTAAAGCAAGCGGCTTTCCTTTGTCACTGGCTTCTGCAATGGCGTTGCCTTCTCATCCCAGGCTGAATGAGCATGGACTGACATCTCTGAACATTTGAGAAACACACACACACACTACCTACATACACACTACCCCCCACATGCAAGCACACATGCATGAGCGCGCATATACACACTACCCATGCACACTACCCCCACACACATACACACACACTACCCACACACTACCCCCACACACATACACACACTACCCCCTCACACTACCCACACACACTACCCACAACACTACCCACACACACTATCTACACACACACTACCCACACACTACCCCCCACATACACACACTACCCCCTCACACTACCCACACACACTACCCACACACACTATCTACACACACACTACCCACACACTACCCCCCCACATACACACACTACCCACACACACTACCCACACACACTATCTACACACACACTACCCCCACACACATACACACACTACCTACACACACACACATTACCCACGCATGCTACACACACACATACACACATACTACCCCCCCACATACACACACTACCCCCCACACTACCCCCCCACACTACACACACACACACACTTTCTAAGTCTTTTTCTCAGGTAACTTGTCACACTAATGCAAGCTATCACACTATAATTGGATTCTCAGTTTTGAGTTTATTCAAGTTATCTTGTTGCAAAGACAGCCACTGGTTAGTTCCCAGCCACTTAGCCCTAAAATAATCACACAGAAACTATATTATTTAAATTATTGTTTGGCCTATTAGCTGTAGCTTCTTAGTGGCTAACTCTTACATCTTAATTTAACCCATCTCCATTAATCTGTGCATCACCACAAGGTCGTGGCCTACCAGCAAAGTTTTAGCAGTCTGTCTCTGGCAGCAGCTCAATGGTTTTTCTATCTCCGCCCTTTTTCATCCCAGAATTTAGCCTAGCTTTCCATGCTTAACTAAGTACTGCTCTGCTATAGATCCAAAGCAGTTTTCTTTATTAATCAATGGTAATTACAGAATACAGAGGGAAATCCCACATCACCTCCCCTTTTCTGTTTTAACTTTAACATAGTAAAATTACATTAACAAGACAAGTATCAAGCAAGAATTATAGCTATAATATTTATATCTACTTTATCTTTTATCATATCTAAGGAAAACTATAACTATCTATCTATTCTTTAACTCCATCAAAGACTCCAGAAGGATATAATATTACCTAAGAAAACAATAAGTTATTGTAAGCAACTTCTAAAACTCCAGAATTGACAGAGATTTCTCACTGCCTGGAAAGTCACCCAAAGTTCTTCTGTACCGTTGGGGCATCCATCTTCAGCATACAGGCCCATAGTATCCAGCAGACTTTTCCATGAAACAGGAAATTTCAAAGACAGTTCCCCCTATAGTGGCAGTTTTTAGTCACTTTTTTCTATGTCCTGAAGAGTATCTAGAAGACAGGTTTCCCAATCATTATCTGGTGTTTTAGTAACACAGAATTGTTTTTTCTTTTTAAAATTTATTTTATTTTACTTTTATTTTTTTTTTTTTGAGACAGGGTTTCTCTATAGCTTTGGAGCCGGTCCTGGCACTAGCTCTTGTAGACCAGGCTGGTCTCAAACTCACAGAGATCCATCTGCCTCTGCCTCCCGAGTGTTGGGATTAAAGGCATGCACCACCACAACCTGGCTTTATTTAATTTTTTAAAAAAGAAAACAAATTATTTTTTTTAATTTTACATACCAATCCCAGTTCCCACTCCCTCCCTCCTTTCATCCCTCCACCTATCCCCACACAGGGTGATTTTGTTTGAGAATCTCCAAGAGAGCCTGGAACTTGAGGATGCAGTCCTTAGAAACAGATCTTTAAGTTCAAAGCAACCCCTACCTGGTCAAGTGTCTGTGTGAATTCTTTATGGTTCTAAGACCTGTTTCCTCATGTCACAGAGATAGACCAGAACCTGTTTCATGGAAACTTTTTTGAAGAATCTTGGGAACAATGGAGGATAAGAACATCCTGGGATTAATCCCAGCAATTGGGAGACAGAGGCAGACAGATCTCTGTGAGTTTGAGGCCAGCCTGGGCTACAAAGTGAGTGCCAGGACAGGCTCCAAAGCTACAGAAAAACCCTGTCTCAAAAAAAACAAAAACCACCCAAACCAAAACACCCTGGGTGAAGAAGGCATCAGGTAGATCAGCCAACCTGGTCTGCAGAGTGAGTTCTGGGAGAGCCAGGGCTACACAGAGAAAAACTGCCTCAAAAAACAAAAACAAAACAGAACACCCTGGGTGTTTGGAACACTCTACTCCAGATTTTCAAGGTTTTTGTTTGATTGCTTAGTTTTTAGCTTTTGTTGTTTCCATTTAATTTTTATTGTGTGTGTGCATGTGTGTATGTGTGTGTACACACACACACACATCTGTGTACAGGTAACTATGGAAGGCATCAGATCCTTAGAACTGGAGTTACAGGCAGTTGTGAGCCATGTGAAGTGAGTGCTGGGAACAAAACTTAGGTCCTCTGAAAGAGCAGCAAGTGCTCTAACCATGGAGCAATCTCTCTAGCCCTTGACTTTTATGGTTTTGAGACAAAGTCTCACTCTGTTGACCTGACAGGCCTCAAGGGTGAGGATCACAGGCCTGGACCACCACACCTGGCTCAGGGTTCTTCTTGAGTGTGTGTTGTCTGTCTGCCTGCCTCTCTATCTGCCTTGGAAATAACAATGACTTCCAGTTCTCAGATTGGTGTCCTTGTACCCTGGACCAACTCCTCTTCTAGTTGGTTAGCAATAAAGTTTAAAAAAACAAAGAAAAAGAATAAAATTGTTGGGGGGAGGGGACTATAGAGATGGTTGAGAGCTCTGGCTACTCTTCCAGTGGACCTGAGTTTGGTTCCCAGCACCCACATGGTAGCTGATAACCATTTGTATATCCAGTTCCAAGGGATCTGATGCCCTCTTGTGGCCTCTGTAAGCACTGCATGCACATGGTGCACATACGTACATGGAGGCAAACACATACAATAAAAAACCGTATTTTTAAAGGTGGTGGGGGCTTGAAAGTTGGCTCAGTAACAAAGAACACTTGCATTGATTCCAGAGGGTCTGTGTTGGGGGCCTGAAACTCAAGTTCCAGGAAATCAAATACCCTCTTTTGACTTCTAGAGGCACACACACACACACAGACACATGTGCATACATGTAAACTGTAAAAAATTAGAAAAAGATGTTTCTCTCTTTCTTCTGTCCTGTGATCTTCATTCCAGTCATGGCTGTCATACATGGGAAGCATAGGAGCTGCCATCTTGGTAGCTGAATTCTTTTCTCCATTTCTTCACACAAGGACCAGAAGTTTCCACTCTGGGCTTCTGAGGAGCTCTTTAAGTATCCGGGCACCAGGCCCACCCCAGTAGAATTGAGGATTGCTCACTGTTGCTATTCTCTCTCTGTGGCATCTCACTCTGTAGCCCTAGCTGGCCTGGAACTCACAGAGATTCACCAGCCTCTGCCTCCAAGTGCTGGCATCAAGGTTGTGCACCACCACGCCTGGCTTAAGTTCTGAGACACAGTTTTGATATGTACCCATCTGTCCTTGAGCTTGTTAGTAACCTCGGGGGCTTTCCTCCTGGTTAACCCTCCCTTGTGCCACCACAGCCAGGATGGATGTTTACTAAGGACGTTCTGTGTGCCAGGCACACTCTTCTGGGCACCTGAGATATATGTATGAAAATCGAAGGGGTTGAAGTTCTAGTCAGACTGTGAAGAACAAGCAAGTTACCTTTCCGCCTTCTGGCCTTTCCTTTCGTAGGTCATTTCATCAGGCCCTCAGCTCCGTTCTGTCAACAGCCTGTTACTGTGACTGGCACTCAGTTGGTGTTCAGCACACAGTGGTGTAATACATGGAGTACATTTTCAAAAACCTGTACTCCATCCCAGAGCTTAATCTTCCAGAACACTAAAAAAATTCCTACAAGCATTCAGAGAGAGAGGCATCATCTGGCAGGCTGGGGTGCCCCCGCAGACACCCCCAGTCAGCGAACCGTGGGCTCCTGGGAGCAGCAGGGCTCGCCCCGCCCCCTCTACCGCGCAGCCCTCCCCTCGTCCTCCGCCCACTCCCGTCGGTCTCCTGGCGGCGGCGGCTTTGTCTCCCGGGTAGGGCTCCCTCCCCCAGCCGCTGCCCGGGGAGGAAGCGGTGGAGCTGTCCAGCATCCCGGTGCTGAAAGCCGGCACGCCGGCACGGCTCCACCATGTAAGGGCCATGCCCAGGCTCGCCCTGGCGCAGCGAGGACATGGAGGAGGACCTGTTCCAGCTCAGGCAGTTGCCGTGAGTATCGCGGGGGCGAAGGGAGGCAGGCGGGGTGCCCTTTAGAAGAGCAAAGCCTGCAGGGGTGCATCCCCGCACGGCCTCTTGAATTGGAAAACGCTATTACAGAGGGAAGAATTGGGCCTGAAGGAGAAAAGCCATTTTCCTAGCCAAGCTTCTGTTTCTGATTCATTACCTACCCCCTCCCCACCCCCCGTATCTGTCAGGACCTTGTGAGAATCCTTAGTTTTCCGTGTTTTCCCTTGAAAATCGCTCTCAACCCTGAAGGGGTTTTGAGGTCTATGCTATGAGAACGTGCTGGATGTTGTTTGGAAATGTGGGCTGATATCTGTCCTTACCAGCCTTTCCTCATGTTGTTCAATTCCTGATTTTTTTCCCCTGCAAGGTCTTTTGGAAAGGACCGATGTGATGTTGCAAACTGCTTTCCTAACAGCAGGGATGTTCCTAGCCGAGAGGCTGGGGCAGTCGTTGTTTGTAGAGCCTGTGAATGAGAGGGCTGTGAGCAGTGGCTGGATGGCTGGTCGGGGACTCTCGCCTTCTGAATGAAGGGTTTGGGGAGAGCTGGCTGGAGTAAGCCTCAGCGCGCTGGAAGCGCTAGGAATGCATTCCTCTGAGGTCGGGAATTGGGGTGGAGGATGATAGACAGTTCACTCTAAGAATCTTGGGGGAACACACACAGTGGGAAGGACGGAGGCCTTGGAGGGGTTGCAGGTATTTTTCCTGCCACAAGCAATACTGAATTGTCAAGCAAATTCCAAGAGTCTGAGTGGGGATAACTAAGATTAAAGAGAATATTTCCAGAAGTTCCTGTTTTAATTTTTAGAGTCACAGTCATCTGGGAGGTGGAAGTCAATTCCATTTGGGTCTCTTGGGAAGGATTGGTTATTGTTGGCCTGTGTGTACTTGACCGACTTTAAAAATGGTGTGGGTCCCCCCAACTCAAGCTGCTGAAGAATTCTCCCAGTGACTTTTCGAGTGACTGATCCGGCTTCTCTGAGCCTCTGAGTACCTGTGGGGGTTGTCATATTTACTTCCCAATTCACAGAAAATTAATTATCATCATTCAGTTTTCATTAATTGAAATTGTACTTTTCAGCTTTTGTTACTAGATCCATAAAAACCCCTGAACTAATGACAGCTTTATTTTACAATGTTGAAGGGTACGCACTGCTAATATCCCAAAGTCCATGTACCATACACAAAAACATAAATGTCAAAGTACAGATTCCTCAAAGAATCCATACCACTCTCGCCGAGCTCAAACATCATGTTCACAGAGCCAAACAATTACTCCAAAGAAAATAATCCACGAATTGAAACAGAATACATATATTGGAATGTCAGCTTTAGTGGAATGAATTTCTAAGCACTCTCAGAGCACGTGAATTTGGCAAAAGACATACATGCCTTTGATCTACTAATATATAGATATGACATTACTTACTGATTCTTTCTGTAAGTAAAAAAGAGTGCAAACAGGGAGCCGTGGCGTGGTTCGTTCAGAGTGCTCTCCTACCACGCCAAGGCCGTGGATCCCGGCCCCAGCACTGATATACAGGAGGAGATGGTGAGAACAGGGAAACTGACACATGGAATTGATTCAGGCTTGGTCAGGAGATGCAGCTCTGGAATCCCAGCACTTGAGGGAGGGGACCGAAGCTCGGCAGTTCACATTCTAGGCCAGCCCCAGCCCCATCCTGTCTCAAAAAGACAACACTACCACTAATAATAACAATTGATTTTATTTTAAATTGAAATATATTACAACTATTCAATACACACAAAGTAGTTGCAGGGATTACAGTTTGCAGATAGTATCCATCTTGGCCCTCGGGCGCTTTTAAATTCTCAATCTCAATATTCTATAGACAGAATATGTGGTATCTATTGGAGAGATTAAATGGTGTACTGTCAGAGAACAATGGCTCTTAACCAGGCAGATTTGGGTTCAAATCTTGATCTCCAATCAATTAGCCTTTTTAAGACTCAGTTTCTCTAGCTGAGGCCACGTGGACAGCGGCACGGTGTGTGGGTAGCATACTCGAGTAGCCAGGTCCAATTCCTGAAGAAATGACTACCATGATACTTGATTCATGTTTATTATGGAGGTCAAATGAGATGTGTGCTAAGTGCTTGACTACACAAAGGGATGGACATTGGCTATTTATTATTGTCATTACGTCTGAAACATCTATAAAAGATAGTTATACCAGGCGGTGGTGGTTCATGCCTTAATTGGGAGGCAGAGGCAGGCGAATCTCTGTGAGTTCGAGGCCAGCCTGGTCTACAAGAGCTAGTTCCAGGACAGGCTCCAAAGCTACAGAGAAACCCTGCCTTGAAAAAAAAAAAAAGTGATTGTGTAGATTGGTGCTACTGGATTCCCCAAAATGGCTGCTCAAAAACCCCAGGGGCTGGTGAGCCCGTCCGGCTGTCAAGAGCAAGCACTGGCTGCTCTTCCAGGGCACAGAGTTTGGTTCCCAGCACCCACGTTCTCACAAATACCTGTAACTCCAGTTTTAGGACGTCTGATGCCTTCTTCTGTCCTCACATGTGGCAAACAGGCACACGTGCAGGTAAATAAAAACAAAAAGCCAAAGTCTTTTGAAAGAGAAAGCCCCAAAATACACTTGAATGAAGTCATAATTAGTCTGTAGCCGGGCTGACCTCCGTTTCTAAGAACGAAGGAGCTAAAAGAGAAAGAAGCCGGCAGCCGTGTGAATCTGAGTGGGTTATACATCACGACTTAGCTGTTTCTCAAACCATGCCCTGCATATATTATGCACAGATTGCAGGCAACAGATTTCCTGAGAGCAATATGGTTTAAAAAAAATTCAGAGAGCTGGCAGAAGTGGACTCTGAAACAGACTGGGCTCTGCAGGAGGTTGGGTGTTCACAGGCCCTAAGCCTCTAAGCAGATTGCAGTGTTGGGGAGGGGAGGGAGCAAGGGTGTCTAAGAACGTCTGGTGTGCCTGGAGGCCCTGCTGCGCAGCCCTGGCCATGGCCCAGTGGAGACCACCAAGGGCCCTTGTTGTTTCTCTGCTTTCTTCTGGGAGCATGTGTGGAACGAGCAGCTGAAAGTTTGTGTACTCTTCTTCCTTATGGTGTACCTGTGCGCGTGAGATTTCTCTTTTCCAGGATAATGATTCTTCTTTTTGGTGATGGGGCTGGAGCCCAGGGCCTCATGCGTGCTAAGAAAGAACTCTGTCACTCATCTACATCTCCAGCCCTCAGATGACTCTGTCTTCCCCTGGAATTCGCTATATGGACCAGGCTGTCCTAGAGCTCACAGAGACCTGCCTGCCTCTGCCTCCTGAGTGCTGGGATTAAAAGTGTGTGCCACCATACCTGGCCACTCAATAGTTTAACTTTGATACATACCATCCTTGATACAACACTGGATGGCTGGTTAGGAGAAAATGGCCCATACCTTGAAAGAGTTGCAGTCTATAGTCACAGTATGGTAGCCACTGGCCACATGTGGTTAATATAAGTTATTACATGTGAAATAATTTATGCAATATAATATTGTTCTACTTACATTTCTGTGGCTGTGCTAAGACAGCCTGCATCACAGAGGAGGGAAGGGCGTGTCCAGCCTGTGTTCCTCATCACAGTCCAGCACTCAGGGAAGCCAGAGCAAGAACTTGAAGCAGCACACTTGCTGTTGCAGGCAGCATTGCCTCCTACTGCTACTCGGGAGGTTACTTGACAATCAAGGTACAGCAGGAACCATGGAGGACGCTGCTTGCTGACTCACTGACCAGCTTATACCCATCTGGCTTTCTTACATAGCTCAGAACCACCTGCCCAGGGACTGGTGCCACCCACAGTGGGCTGGACCTTCCTCTGTCAAGTAACAGTCGAGACAGTTCCCCACAGAGGATACACAGGCCAGCCTGGCCTCCCTCTCAAGCTATGTCCAGTTGATAGTCCAAGCTGACCAGGACAAATACATAGTATAAATAAACAAAACCTGCCCATCTTCAAATGCTCACTTCATTTCACTGGCTCCCTGTGGCAAGGGGCTACCACGGTGTGTAGATGTCCAGAAGTTTCTGGAACTGCGCGGCTTGCAGCGTTTTCCTGGGTTCTGTTGTGCAGGCCTGGCCTGGGAGAGTAGGCGAGCATTGACGGAGTCACACTTGTAGCTAGGAGAACTGTTTTAAATGCTCATCTAGCCAAGGGCTGTTCAGGAATCCCGATTCTAGATAATGAGATCGAGGAGACCTTCCCGATGTGTGGTTCCTTTCAGAAACACAGTAGCAGTGTGGAACATTCCAGAAAGAGGGGACTTGGTGAGAAAAAGCCCAGCGTGGGAAGAGTATGATGTATCTCAAAGTCATCCAGTAGAGTGTGCTGATAGGACATCTTTAGAGGTGACCCCAAAAGCACAGAGACAGGACACTCAGGGCCTTCCGGGATGCTGTGAAGTTAGTCTCCAGCTTCTGAGTACTCCATCCACCATTTCTCTTTTACATTTCCTGTCTTCGCAGTGGAGCATGCATCTGACACCTCAAACGAGTCCTTCATTTCTTTGGCCTCAGTAACTGAGACAAAATGGGGGAATTGGAGTCAGGCTGTGCTGGGTTCAAATCCTACCTCTGATGCTTACCACTGGGGTGATTTTTGACCTTTAACCTCATCCCACCAAGGCTAGGAGCTCATCCGTGAAGTTGGGAGCCTGCTTGTCCCTACATAGTTAACCTGATCTGGGAGAAAGGGAAAACACTGGGTAGTGCCACTCCAATGAATGTTTCTGGTATTTCTTGTTTTCCACTCCTTTGTCTTGGGCCTCTGGACCTCACTTTGTTCATGAAATAAAGGAAGCATCTTTGCAGAAACGCCTGCAGTGGTGTGGCCACATGCGTCTGAATTTGAATGTTTTTTTTTAAAAAAATGATAGTAGGCCGGGCGATGGTGGCGCACGCCTTTAATCCCAGCACTCGGGAGGCAGAGGCAGGCGGATCTCTGTGAGTTCGAGACCAGCCTGGTCTACAGAG